GCGGCCGCCCGGGTCCTCGGGGCCGCGCGCGCCCGTGTCCTGCATGCGCCGGCTGTCTATGGCATTGATGACCGACGAGTACAGGGACTCCACCATCATCTCGGGGCTCTGCGGGTCACTGATGGGGTTAGGAGACGACAGGTTTTCTTCTATGACAAACTCATTCACAGCAGACATGAAATCTGACTCAGGGCTTTCTGCTAACGAATCCAAGTCTAACGAAGCCTGGTGAATAGTCTGCTCTATGTTCGGGTGGGGGATGGTTTCAAAGTCAAACGTATGTGCATCAATGCTGTCTGGAGACAGTTCTTCTAAGGGACACACTGCGGGACACAGGGCGTCCTGCGCAGCGAGCGGAGGCGGCGTTCGGGCTGAGGTAGTAGTTGTCATGCCTGTCGCACTTTCTGTCCGGGGTGAGGAAGCCGACTGGGGGGACGTCTGACTCACGGAGGCCTGGAAAAGAGAGGGACAGGCTTTCAGAGCTGCGGCAGCACAGGCATCTACACTAACGGGGGGGCCGTTTCAAAGAACGCGACTTGCCTTTTGTTCACTCAGGAGATCGGTAATGGTCTGTGACATCTCATCCAAACTCTGGGCTGCTTTCACCAAATGATGCAGAGCGAGTACGTGCTGGTGCAGAGGCTCAAAGTCACAAAGCAAGGGGACCCTGAAACCGTGCAAATTAGAGTTCTGACTTCGTAATGAAAAATGAGTAACTACAACAAATATTTTAATCTATGTCAAAAATAACTACAGCATTATCATCCTCTTTCAACCAACAGCAGGAATACTTTCAGACTGAGACACATCATGGAAGGGATCAATCAGAAATCTCCCGCAGTATGCAACAACACAGACCCCCACCGGAAAGGAACTACATTCCTGGAGGCATTCCATTTCCTCTACTTTACCTTCATTTTCTGAACCTTATTTTCTGATCATTTTAATATTCCCCAGAAATGTCCCAAAGCAGCCACAGAAGAGCCTGCCTCTACTCTGGCGTCTCCTAAGTGCGCTGCTGCTGCTTTGCACAGCTCCAGAGCAAAGACAACATCGTGAGGTGGCACCCAAGGCTAAAACACTAGTGACGTTTACCTGAGGAATGGCTGAACTTCAGTCGGACAAAGTGATTGCAGAAACTGTAAATCTTTTAGTGAAATATCTGGAAGTTCACAGTCAAACTTTCGAGGCTTCTGTGTCTATATGAAAAAATAATTTACAAAAAAATATACAGGACAAATCAAATTCATAAATGGTTTCTTAGTATAATCAAGTTCAATATAACAAGCAAAAATGTTTCAAATGATGTACCCACACTGGAGAAACAACAAAATAATCAAACCAAAATGAAGGGCTATTCAGTGAGGACGCGCCACTACGTCTCTGAGTCTGAAATAACCAGGACATGAAAGCTGCTGCTGATCAACTGACATGCCCCCCTGCTCCCGTCTCCTTCCCCGACCTGGCTCCAGCATCTCTGTATGGGATTCTAGCTCTCCTGCCCCTGCTCCCCCCCGACCTGGCTCCAGCATCTCTGTATGGGATTCTAGCTCTCCTGTCCCCCCCACCTCCCCCAACCCAGCTCCAGCATCTCTGTACAGAGTTCTAGCTCTCCTGCCAACCCCCTCCTCCCAGCGCCCGGCTCCAGCAACCCTGTAAGGGGTTCTAGCTCTCCTGCCAACGTTAAAGGAACGCACTTGTTTCCCTCTCACACAGGGGTTCCCAGTTTTCATCTGACCCTCAGCATGGTCACGAAGCCCCTGCCAGCCCGAGACCTGTATCTATTCCTGTAACCTCCTGGTGCACCGTGTTGTTTTAATGTAGTAAAAATAGTTTTTTCTTTACTTCTTTCCTTGCCCTTCACTTTACCTTTTCACTACATTTTCCAAAATACAAAGTCTTAGTCCACTTAATCCTCTTAAAAAATGAGTATCTACCATTTCTCTATAAAACTGCCAAGAACTACATCTTTCAAGATAACTCCAGGTGTCTCAGTCATGACCCATGCAGTTTAGGGACGTCAGGACACTCCTCACCAGCAGGGCTCCTACATGTGAATGAGTGTGGGAAACCCACCCGTTACAACACTCACTCACACGTACACAGAAACACATACATCTGAAGCCCTAAGAAACCCTGCAGCACAAAACACGGTGAATAGTCAAGGAGTATGTCTGAGGAGAACACAGAAAACCTATAGCGTTTCCAAACTTCTTTGACAGTGGAATCTGTTGTTGGTTTTTCCTAATGTAGTAAGATCAGTGGCCCCAGGTGGCCCTGATTCAGAAATACAGCAAACTTACTTGTCACTGTTTAATGAAGCTTACCTGATGGGTCGCCCTATTCTGATCTGTCCAAATATGAATGAGAGGGGAGGGCAGGGGAGGGGGCAGGAGGAGAAGGGTGGGAGGGGGGAGTGAGGGGGGAGGAGCAGGGGGCAAGGAGGAGGGAGACACCGATGGGGAGGAAGAGGATCTATTCCCACCATCTCAGCAGTGTCGCCTGTGTTGTGAAGACTCTGTATCAGAAACTATGAATTTACATTAAAGCTTTTTGGCAATGATCTTTTAAAGCCAAAAACAGTTTTATTTTGATAAAAAATGTCTGCTTCTGATAAAGATCTCTACTTCTGAAATGACCACATACAGGATTTAGTCATGTTAGAAAATAAATACATACACAAAAGGATGGGGGCCAGGAGTCCAGTCCCCTAAACAGACGGTTTCTTAGAAAAGACTTCCCTGTGTAAAGAAATGAACAATATGGTTATTTTATAACTCATGCTAGTAATGCTACCTTCTTATCTATGAAATAAAACCAGCATTTTTTTTCCTTAAAAAATTAAAAAAGAACACTTACTAAATAATTTCCCAAAGGATTCCCTTTTTGACTTTTCAGCCTCATATAATCGCTTTCCGTCCTTGACTAAAGCACCAGCCCACTGAGGAGAGGAGAGCTTGTGTTAATATCCACCCAGTTCAAGCAGGCTCAGACACAATGAAAGCAAATTCAACCTGCATACCTCCCTGTAGTGTTTTATGAACATTTTTCTCCTTACGACCTCGACAACAGCTAAGCAGTACACCTGAGGAACCGTGCTCAGGGCTTCCACAGTCCGGACCCTTTCCACCAGCTCCACCACGAGGCGCAGCAAAGCCTGCAGCTTCTCTCCGTCCTGGTCAGCGTGAAGCATCACGAAGCAACACCACCTGCAGAGTCAAGTCCAGACATACAAACGCTACAAAAATCATCTCATCCCATGTCAATCGACAAATGAAGGATTTCAGTACAGTTTAAAATTACTCCATCACTTGGGAGAAATAAAAAATATCAACCCTCAACATCCCAAATTAGATATAGTAGAATGACTTACTTCAGCCTGACATGCAGGTTATTTGCAAGTTCTTGTTTGGCAGTGGTACACTTCTGTTTAATGTCCAACAGTTTTCTATGATTTTGCAACATAATCATCAACTGATTTGCGTGACTCAGGCACAAATCAGGTAACACAGATGCATCCTTCAAGTTTTCAGCTCTCATCTGATTAGCTAAAAATCCCTTTAACAGAAAATATGTTATAGAACATTAAGACTCACGAAAGGCACAAACATTCATTTCAGAGGAAAATCTCTGTTAGACATGCACTGTTCTACTTTCAAATAAGACTTAAAAATCTCCTGCGTTTCTGAGTTTAGTGGATGTGTCCATAGCAAAAGATTCAGAGCTTTTAAGAAGTTTACGCTCATCTAATGCTGCTCCATTTTCAGGCTAGAAGAAAAATGAGACCCAGGAAGATAAAGCTCTGTATCCAAGGAGGCAACAGGCAAACGAGAACCAGAACCGACATCCCTGAACCTCTACCACACACACAGCGGCCCCGCCAGGGCACAGCCAATAAACAAACGTGGCCACTGACCTGAGTCGCAAAAACCAGCAGATACAATCTAATCAGTGACAGCCGATGGGAGACCATACACTTCCCCCAGTAACAATCAACCAACTGACCTTGTACTTTTTCTTGAAGTCATTCCTCTCACCACTATTTCAAGGCTACTGCATTTTGTTCCCCTGATCTGTGCTCAGATTTTGAGAATAATGAGCTTTATAGTACATTTTATTATTCTGTAGGAAAAGTAATTATTGTATTGTGTTTATAGGTTTTTTCCTACTCTGCTGTCACATTCTGCTCTGTCACACTTGCTGCTGCAGATGGTTATCCCCGTACCACATGACCAGCCAAGGGCAGCAAGTGTGTCTTCTTCCTTTCTGGTGGTTTGCTCTCCTTTCTTTCATGTTTTGCCTAAATATTATGAAAATATTTAAGTTTAAATGATGTGTATTAAAATAAAGTCGAACTGGTTCAATATCTGAAAATAAGACAACTTTAATAGTAATATTATATCTTACACTTCTTCCAATATGCTGCAAGACTATGCTTTTCCTGTAATTTAATCCGTTAAAAAAAATAATTTACTGCTTTAATCAATCTCCTTTGATAAAGTCTTACTGGGCTATCAATTAGTTTTTCCCAAATCCAAGAAAAACAGAATCAATCCAGTTCATGCAGTACAAGCCCAACGCAAGAGCAGTACCAAGCAAGCCACAGCCCAGCACAGCGGAGCCAAACTGCTGAAAACCAAGCCAAAGGCAAAGCGCTACCAGCAAATCACTAACAACTGGGAATTCTCCATCAAGAGAAAATATCCTTCAGAAACAAGGTGATGTAAAGAAATTTTCAAATGACAAAACGTGAATTTGCCACTCAAAGGAACTACTAAGGGCTATTTTAATGTACAGTAGACTTTACTACATCAAGGCTGCATGTATTACTTAAAAGGAATACAGCTAATACACAAGAAAGATAACGTATCATAACCGCGTTGAGCTTATTCCAAGAATCCAAGCATGGTCCAAGATTAGAAATACAATGTAACTTGCTTATTCTAGTGGGGGGTTTTCTATTAAAACAGGAGAAAAAAAAGACTACAAATATTATAATGGTGAAATGTAGACCATTTTTTATGGATCAGGAATTAAACAAGGATACCTACTAGCACATCTACTTAGCATTGTACCGGGGTTCCATTCAGTGTTTAGACAAGATTAAAAAAAAAAAACAAAAACCCAGCTCACAGTTAAGTGGCTGGACCCAAAATCAAAAGAGAGAATAAGAGAAACTGGTAATTCATTACAAGATGAACTCAGTTAGTAAACTACAAAAGCACTGTAGATATTTTAATCGTGTTTAAAATGACTGCAGCACGGTTATACACATTTTAGCTACCTACACCATCCTGCATGGACTCAGCCATGCAGGTGAAACAAAACATCTGTACCCATTAGAACGATTTTTCAGAGGTTCTAATGAAGGAACACATCTAGAAGGGAAACACTGGCAGGGAACGTTAAACCAGAAGAGTGAACATCAGCGTCAAGATGACAGAGTCACCTCTTTTGCTACAGGCTGTTTTCCAAGGGCTTGAGGGTGGGAGGCAAACAAAGCGGCCTGAGCTACAGTCACGTGTCGGGGGAGTGGCTAGGGCGACCATTCTTCACAATTTCCTCACCTTCTTTTGGTTATAAATCTAACTTGGTAACAGAGTTCTTGGGACACTGCATTAAATTAGACCTAAAAACCTAAGTATTAGTAAATTCTTAAGCCCTTTACTTCCCCGAGGAGGGAGCAGGGGCTTATCAGCACGGCACGCTCGGCCTCCCCGTCAGCCCGCGCGCGCCCCCTGCTGCTCGCAGCGCGCGGTCCACCTTCCCGCGGACAGCACGGCAGCCGGCCGGGACCTCACTCAACCCGAGGAGCGCACGGGGCCGGTGACGCCTGCATGAGCAGGTGCTCGTGGTGCACAGCACGGTGAGGCTGCGCACGAAATACTGTGCAGGAAAACCGCACACTCCTTTTCCTGAGAGAAGTCTGCGAGAAGCACCTGAGCAAGCTCTTTCTGTTCGTTGACGAGTCGGCCGCAGCTGGCGATCATCTGGTCCAGGGCGTACAGCCGGTCTTCCAGCCCTTTGATGGCTTTCATATTCTGATTATCGAGATTGGCAATAGTTTGACGGCATTCTGCTATAAATGGTCGAATAATCCGTGGATCAAGCTAATGACAAGCAAACACACATGAATGAAATTTTCAACAAATGGTCTAAAATATATTTCACACTATTCTGATAACCAAGCTTCAAAGAAAAACAAACAGTGGAAAATGGAGAAAGCAAAAGCGTGAGAAATCAAGGGTGTATTTCCACAAGAAGGTCAAGAACAGGGTAATTATGATGTTAACAAAACACAGGAATGCCGACACAGGAATCCAGTTCTAGGAACCGTACCTTTCAATTCAAGCCGCCATCTATTCAGTTCTCAATATCCCACCAAAAACAGTTTTTCCCAGGTCTTATGAAGTACAGCAGAATTAATAATAACACTTTCTTGGTCATTAACTGATCAACGCAACTTCCCTCTAAAACATATCAACACCCCTCCCCTGGAGATGGCTGTGTTCTTAGCCTGCATCTGCTCAAGGAATTTGCTTGACCAACTACACTTTCTTACTCTTCAACCTCTCCTGTTGCCTGGCTTTAACTCTACAAATTTTCTGTAATTTATGGAATTCACAGAACCCCAAAACTTTCCCTCAACCCTGCTGGGCCCTCCCCTGAAAGAACTGTACACCTGCCGTCCTCGTCCAGACGCCCTGCCCCTGCTCCCTGTGAGGCTCCCACGCTCACGCCGAAGACGCTTGTGGTGCGTCCGGTGTTGCCCCCGCTGGCTCCTTCCCAGGACCCGCTCTGGCAGCTCCTCGCGCCTACTACCCCCAGGGACTCTGTGCTGCGGCCCACCTTCCTGTTCCTCACGAGATTTCAGCAGTAACCACAACTCCAAGGAGGGAACCCCAGCCCCTGTTCAACCCTTCATCCTCCTCACGGACTCTCAGTCTGTGTTTCTGACTACTTGCTGCTGCCTCCACAGGGACACCTGTGGTATCTTCTAGCACTGACTCACTAGAGCTGTCTTCTGCTGAAACCCCTAAACGGCTCCCTTCTGCCCACAAAGACATCGGAAGACACAGAACACTGAACCGCCTAGCACACGCAGACAAATGTTCCTCCAGCTCTGAGCTCTGTTCGCAGTGAGCATCCCCCTAGCCGCTGAGGCCCACGTCTGTGTGACTGTGAGGGTCCCAGTCAAACGCCACCTCCTTCATGATGTCTTCTCTGATCTCCAGTCAAAGGGACCTTAACTTATTTATTTTAGGTACAGTGTCTGGTACACAGAGAACAGACAAAGGCAGGTAAAAGTGAACTGTTCTACTGTTACCAAGAATTCAGTATAGTCAGTAAGAAGCTGCATTTCTAGTACCTCAAAGCTAACATGGCCACTATGTAATACAGCCGGCACCTGCTTTGTACAATGTTAACTAAAATTTGTTAATAGGTGAATGTTTTCTCATTTTTGTGGTGACTCCAATGTGCACACGTTTCCAATCCAAAGTAATGACTAAATTATGTGGGTGATAAAAGCCTAAAAAAGATGACTAAAACAGACTCAAACTTTCAACCTGGGCAAAAGCAGAACTATACATAAAACACAGCAGTGATTTAAGGAAGAAAACCCAAACCCCAAACCACAGCTCCCAATTATGCAGTTTCTGTGTCTCACAATTCGCTGAAAGTACAATATACAACACAGACAAGCAGGGAAGAATGTTTGAGACTCACTGAATACAGGTTACACAACCTGAGTTCCTAAAAGCTTATTCTACTTAAATTTCGCTCCATCAGTGCACAAGTAATGACAACTAAAATTTCCAGTCTGTGAATATTTTAAATTATGTATTTTAAATCACAGATTTTTACTAGTAATAATTCAGCAAAGTTTCAATAATTAAACACAGTGCTACACTAATTTTCAGTCTGGTGCTTTTTCCCCTGACAACTACAAAGGTTAACATTATTGTTGTCTAAAACTAAAGTTTTTTACCTTCTCCATTCTCCACCCCTCACCTCTAAACCCACCCCACTGCACAGAGTAAACAAAAATATCCCAAACAGGTCACAGGTCTCCTGAATGAAACACTAAGATGAAATTCAATAAATTATGTTCATATCATCCTGGAAGGCTGAGAAACTAGCTAACTAAGCATGTTTCCCACTGTCAACCGTCAGATTTGCAAGTCAGTTTGTCTTCTGTAGTATAATCTGAAATAGAACACCCAAGAGCTGTTCTAACACGAACACAATACAGTCTAAGAAAACATGTGAGTATACAAAAACGCAGCAACAATTCGAGATTCTCCTTGATATGTGAGGGTAAAAACTAAAAAGTTTGTGAAATTAGCATTTATCAATCCACACAAATATCATAAAATAGAGGGTTTAAATGACTTACTGTGGATGACAGAGGTCAGAAATGAAGAGCAGTGCTATGATCTGAGCCCTTATGATTCCAAATCATGCTCAAGCTCCATGATACCTGCCTCTTGACTCAGTTTTTGAAAACGGCTTCTGACTTTGGCAGTTGGAAATACATGTTAAGAATACTACTAAAATTGGTTAGTCTACAAAAATGATGGCTTTAACCAGAATTTGCTTTTGTAGAAGAATATCAAAACTTGGAACATTTTTTAATTAGTTTATTGGCAATGAGCACTCCTGCTATCAGGAAACCAGGCAGGCAGCTGTTCTGGACAATTACGGATTGAACATGTGATGAAAAGAAGGCATCTTGGGTGAGAGAGATCCCATACTCAGGTCAGTCAATCTTTAGAAAAGCCATTAGTAGTATCAAGAATACACAACACTACCGAAAGGAGCAAAGTACTAATCTAGTCAAACCGTCACAGCAAAGTGCTATTTACTACGCGGCACATCCCACTAGGAGCACGTACTGATATTGTGTCCAGCACAAACCAATACATAAACTGATTCTTCAAAATGCGTTTTCATTTCTGCTGAGCAGAAAGTTTCGGTGTCACGCGCGCGTCACTGATGACAGCGCCGTACCACAGCCGTGTCCGCTGACTCCTGACCGCGCGTGTAACGCAGGGCGCCGCCACCCTGCTCTCACAACATGAGGACTTCGCACGCTGCCGCACGAGCTGCCAGCGACCGCTCCCTCTGAGAAGTCGATGATGCGACCCCCTGGTAACAACACCAGCTAACTTCTGTTTTCGGTAGGTAAAAACGCTTGTGAATTTTCATTCATCCAAGTCAAGGGCCACTGTTACCTCCCTCCTGTCATACAAAGGGCTTTGCTAGATTTCACTTAAACGTGCAAGCACAAAGCCAAGGGCAAGCCCGCCAAAAACGGCCTCAAGGTCTAGAGCCCGTTCTGACTCATGTGGAATTACAACAAGTATAAAACAAAAAAAGAAAAAATGAGATTTCAACCATCCTATCACAATCACATGGCTGACTGTCCACAACTCCAGATGGAATTTTTAGACTACTAAAACGTCAGTAACTTGAACAGAACACCAGTTTTCATTCATTTTCAGCATAATCTATTCCACACTTCCCTGCCCTGGCAAGTCTTAACTGAAGCGTTCTCTGACCACAGATAATAAACAGCCACAATGAAAGAAACGCCAGAAGGGTGTCATCAAGGAAACAGGTACTGGAAGAATTAAAAAGAAATGTGGAACCCATTGCATTTCACTGTGCAGTAACTTAAACGAGGAAAGAATGTTGCTATTTTCAGGCACCCAGACAATGCGCTGCCCTCCTCTCAATAACCAACCCAAGACCAAGTCTCTCTTCCAACTGATGAGAAGTTTACCTTTGAGAAAAGCTTAGCTGCCCTGCCCACGGCCTTTAGACGACCGCAGCCTTCAGAATACCCTCTCACGCTCCTGCGCCCCTGACACACGGGCCCGTCCCCTTCCATGCAGGCCTCAAAGATTTCTCCCAGCTCACTCCTCAGATCTGAAGAGGTATTGACTCCCCAGGTGTCTAGAAGTGTGCTCGGGGGGAGAACTTAATCTAAAACACAAGCTCACTGTAATTATAAAATACAACTAAAAACACAATGTCTACATTCTGAATTTTAAAATATATCAGGCAGACGCAAAATTACTTCTTCAGATCTAAAATTACTTCTTTTAAATGTCAGAAATCGGTTCCAGGGGGCGTGGGGTGGGGGCGATTAGAAAGAGGCACATAGCAGTTTTCTGGGAGACGGAGAAGTTCAATACCCTTTGGTGTTGGCTACTCTGTGAACTAACCACTCAAGTCTTCTGTATTTCATCAAATGTAAATCATTCTCAGTGTAAAAAAATTTTTTAACTGTAAAGATAAAAATGAAATTATATCATTAATATTTTTCCCCTAAAAGCTTGGAAGTTCTATAGCATTTGTAAATGTGAACACCAGATTCATTACTAAGTGAACGTAAGACACAGGGCAGGTCAGAGGCCGCCGAACACTGCCCTTTTACCGGTTTACTTGTACTGAGAGTGCTCAGGACTCAAGGCACAAGGATAAAAATCACACGACTGTGTTACCCAGGCCAGCACAGAAAGCCAGGACGGAGGTTCACCCAGAGGATGAAAGAAGCTGACTGTAGGGACAAACTAAATGACAGGAGATACGACAAAGTCCAAGTGAAATTACTGGGTCGGGGGAAAAGTTCAAAGTACCACCACCATCACAACTGTCCCCAGCGGAGGGGACACAGCAAGGCTCGGCACTGCACAGAATTTCTCCTGTCTGACCTCCGATAAGCTTCCCAAATGTACCATCAGCTCTCGAGTAAGGTTACAAGTTCAACGGTCTGATGTGTCCAAGGTCATACACATGGCGATAATGCCTGATTCCACGGCCCATCATTTCCACTCCAGCAGGGCACTCACTCCCCGTTACTGCACAGGAAACATTTAGTGTCGATAACATAACTTCACGTGGTAAAATGACCCAAGGAAAACCAAAGTTAACGTCACTTACCCTGCTCATGGAATCAAAGCACTTCCTGACCAACGATTCCACGTCATTAGGCCTATCCTGAACATTGATCCAGTCTAACAAAGAAACATTAAAAAAAGGCAGATCGCCATCTTTAGCATCTACTGAAGTTTCGTCCTGCTGGACAGTACTTTGACAAGATTCCCTAATTTCTTTTCCACTTTCAGCATCTGTGGAGTCTGGGGCTACGTGTTCCATGGACTTGTGACATGAGGCTGACGAGGGTTTACTTGTTGTTGCAGGCATTTCGGGAGACAGCACCAGTTCCGCGGAGGTCTTCACCTCCGCCTTTTCTGAGCCTTCGCGCTCAGGTGAGGAACCCAGTCTTCCCAAACATCCCCTGTAACTATGTCTGGTCAGGCACTCCAACAGCGGGATCTTGGCCATCACCGAGACCGCAGTTCCTAAACTTAAAATACAAAAGATCTGTCAGTACAACAATGGGACTGCTCTAGTTAGAGATCAGCATTTTGAAAGAAAGAACACTGTTAACACACACACACACATCTTGCCACCTCGCTAATAACTACATGCACCTAAAGTAGTCTGTGAGGTGCTCCCAGTTAGACAGAGAAACACCTCGTGAGACAGAGCAAAGGGTATTGCTCACACACTGAAACACCCTCTAAAGCAAAGGCAGCAAGTGTATGCTAAACAAGTGGACAACTGGTTTTTAACAAATCTTAAGGTATAAAAAACTTGAATTTATAAAAAAGAGTTACCATACCAGTCCCTTAAAATTCAACATTTTGTCTTTAAGCTAATCAAATATTTTCGATATACTGAAAGTAGAGGGTTAAAATTAACACTTTTATTAGATTAAGATAACGCTTGCATTCATCACACCCTGAAAACAGACAGAAAGGTGGATAGATGTATGTTGTCAAAAAACATGGGAAAAGATAAAATCTTGATGATTTGACTTGTGTAAAAACATAGTAGAAGTATTCAGGCTCCTACATTAAATTACATTAAATTAACCTCTCTGAGAGAACTCCTCTGCAAAAAGTTACTTGAAAAGTTTATTATAAAAACTTTTAAAAGCTCTTCCCCATCTTAATTAATCATTCCCTTCCTCCCCGAGATGTGTCCCATTGTCAACTTAAGGCCAAAATGTTCTAAATATTCATACCACAAAATAGAGAAACTTGAAATAATAAGGTTTACTTCATTAAATAAGAAGAAAAGAACATGCTACTTCCCTCTAATTCAAATTGAATAAAAAATAAATTTAAAAAGAACCAAAAGTGCACAAAACACTGAAACTGTACATATACATACAACAAAAATTCTTGGGTTCCTAAATGACTTCAAAAGTATTCTGAACCTTTTACATAAAGAATACAGAAGTCAGGCATGTGGTAGACGTGAAATACGTGGAGGATAAAACTGACCATACTTTCTAAATTTTACAGTCCATATAAGTCATCATAAAAGCCTGAAAAACATGAACTTCAGTTATAATAAATACAGGGCCTATTAGAAGTGAAATTACCATTACTAAACCGGATAAACTACAAAGGTGTTTACACAAACGTCTTATTATCCATTTTAATGGCAAACATACTGAGTAAGTTTTAACTTGATGTCTTCTATGGATTGCAGATAATTTGAATAAATACTTTCAAATTTGAAAAGTAGCTTTTGGTAGGAATTTGAGCAATCCTCCAGATTGGCCATGATTGCAGCCCAGCCCTGGTGCTGCAGGTGCTCATCGTGGACCAGACCTTCACAGAACGAGCAGAGTTTCTTGGCAACTTCATACATTTCCTGCATTGGAAGACAAGAAACAAACAGTGAAAGAAGGTAATGTCTGTGTGCACGTCCACACACGGGCACTCACACACACACACGAACGTGCTCTGAGCACATTCCGAGGGAAGCTCTGCTGAAGGAACTTTTTAGTGACCGTTCCTGTCTTCGCTGTGACAACACGGAGAAGCTCACCCCTGCTGGGCGTCCACACAGCTGGAGTGTCCACCCCACTAGGGCGTCCACACTGCTAGGGTGTCCACACAGGACAATTCAGCAAAAACTGTGAAACACAAAGCTCTGAACTTTCTACCATGGAATGAATGCCACGTGGCAATGACTACAGACCACTAACACACACAGTTACACGAATGAGTCTCAGGAACACAGTGCTGAGTCCAAGAGGCCAGACACACAACAAAAAAAGCCATTCTGGGGGTCAGGACACTGGTTAACTTTATGGAAGAGGAATAACGGTACTGAAAGGGGGAAAGCATGAAGTAGGGCGATATCATATTTTAAAATTTGTGCTCACTTTGTGAAAATGCACTAAAAATGAACGTATTATGATTTGTGCATTTTCAAACATGTATCAAGAAACAAAAATCCATTATTAATTTTACTGACAGTAAAGATAACAGTGCAAGTCACATAACAAGCAGCCAGGCAGCCTGACTCCAGAGCGTGCTCCAGACGGCAGGCCCTCAGGGCCTCTCAGTCCTCACACGACGGGCGGCCGGGCCTGCGGGCCCTGTTCAGGCTGCAGCGGCTCTGGGTGTGGGTTAAAACCTGAGGACACACTCTCCCTCCACTTCCCATTCTTCTTTATCGTCACTTTCTCAGCGATTCCTGGACAGGGATTCTTTCAAGGGAACTCCAAGTCCATTTTATGTAACACAAATAAAACAAAAAATCAAAACTCCCCCCACTGCCCAAAAGCAAAAATGCCTCATCATGGCAATTAACTGTGATTAATTCAGCTCGTGAACACAGATAGATAGGAAGTAGCATGTGACCATGAATGTTAAGAATGATAGTAAGAATCCACCTTGTGCGCCAACTCCAGCGGCGCACACACAACGGGCATGTCACAGGGATGGCTGACTAGCGGGGCCACACAAGGATGACATGCAAACTCGCAAAGCGTTCCATGTTTTGAATATACGTGTGTGTGTGTGTGTGTGTGTGTGTGTGTGTGTGTCTGTCTCTCTGAAGTGTGTGTGTGTGTGTGTGTGTGTGTCTGTCTCTCTGAAGTGTGTGTGTGTGTGTGTGTGTCTGTCTGTCTCTCTGAAGCACCATGCTGCACTCCAAAGAGTCACACAACACTGTAAATCGACCATACTTCAATTTAAAAAAAAAAAAGTATCTCTTCATTTGATTATGTTTTATGTCCTGGAACAGAATTTTACAGACTTTTGTTGTTGCTGCTATTGAGAATGCAATACATTTTTCATTTCTTTTCCCAAAACAGGGCCAATACAGAGAAATCTGAATAATGTCGATATATTTATCACACACCCAGTCAACCTTACAATTCCTTCCAAAGGGTTTTTATTAAATTCTCTTGAATTTTCCAAGTATGCAATCATAACACCTAAAATGGATGTTTTTCACTTCTTTTCCATTAATTTCATCACTTACTTGATTTTTTAATTTTAGTACATTTCCCAGAAGTTCCAAAAGAATACTGAACAGATTTTCTCTGATTTATGCAAATGACTCTAGCTTTGCACTGACTTGAAATCTCATTACTTTTTTATACTTGGTCAAGTCTGCATTACATTTATTCTGTTCCCTTCTAGGGTTATTGAATTTATTAGGAACAGCGGCCAAATTCTAACAAATGTCTCTTTTGGACAACATTAATATGACCCTATATGTTTTTACCTGTGAAGTATTCATGATTAAGGCAATTAATTATATTAATACATTCCCAAATACTGAGCCATTCTTGCATCCCAAAAACATCTGCTTTTTTGCTATTAATATATTCTTTTGATACTCTTCTGGGGTTTTAGCCATAAAAAAAGTATATTCTGTATTTTCAGATTCGGAGTATTAAATCTAGTCCACAAGATTTTTCTTGATTATGAAAGAGATGTATTGAAATCTCCCTCTGAAAAATTACTGTGGTAAAATACTCATAAACCCTACCATTTTAACCTGTCTGTGGGTGTACAGTTCAGTCCTGTGGACTCATTTGCACCGCTGTGACCATCCCCACCGTCCATCTCCAGAACTGTTATCACCCGAACTGGAACTCAGCATCCATCACGCAAGAACCCAACAGCCCCTCCCTGTGCAGCCCCTGGTAACATCTACTCTGCTCTGCTCTATTCTAGGTGCCTCGTATGCTGTTTGTCCTTTCGTGTTTGGCTTACTTTACTCAGCACACTGTCTTCCAGGTTCCTCCACGCTGTAGCTCATATCAGGATTTCCTTCCTGTTTAAGGCTGACTGATAGCCCGCTGTATGAATATACCACATTTTGTTTATTTATTCACTGGACATTTGAGCTGTTTCCACCATTTGGCTATAATTAATAATGCTGCTATGAACACTGATGTACATCATTATATTAAAAGTTCTCCTGAAATTATTATCTTTGACAGGCAAATACAGATTCAGCTTACCTTTTTCCTCAATTAAATCTTTCAGTATTAATTTCACTCTGTTCTGTTTAATGCTTTAACATCCACTTCGTCACATCCTGATACCACCCCCTTTTCCTGTCTTGGCCTCTAGTTCTGTGCGTACCTTTCTTTCCATACTGTAGCAACCTGTTTTACCAGGATTTCTTGTGATGGTGTGGTTCCTTTTTTAAAATCATACCAAAAAGTTTCTTTAAGTAAGGGAAAAGTTGGCTAAATTACTTAGTAACCAATACGATGGGCTGTATTAACCTCACTGTTTCATGTTCAGTGTTCACTTTACTATTTCTGTTGTATCCTACGCAGATGTGTGCTAATCCAGTGAAGTCAGTGTTCCTTTCCGTCCTAGCTCTTCTCTGCTACTCAGCACACCCTCTTCTCTTTCCTGCTTGTCTTAATCTGTGACTGGATGGACCCGTCACCATTCTGTAACTTGCCACCTGGCATCATCACTACAAACTGCGCAGATTGTTTATTTCTAGACTAATCCTCTTTCTCATTTCATCTATTTGATTTTTAAATCTTTCTATCAAGTTTTATTTCTTCTTCTGGTTTCTCACTCTAATCATGTAACAGTTATATACCCTATCAGGTTATCCTACTGGTAATTTTTGTATCTAATGTTACACTTTGCTATTAGCATGTGGTGTTTATATTTCAACTAAATCAAAACTATTACCTTTAAATGGCATGCAATAGTGCAGCCTGTCTTTATTAGTTTTATTAGTTTATTATAGACCCATAATCAGAAAATAAATCTAAAGGATTATATTATATAAATTCAACTTACAGAATTTGTTTTTTAAAAAATAGTTTTGCCTTCTAAAAAACATTTCCAGACTCTAATGCTTATTAAAGATATTCCAGAAAGGTAAGTTTATTCTCTTTTTATGTTGTATCCCAGGTGCAAAATGGGATAGCTTCACTAATGTACATAATACATTAAAACAAACTGCTAACAGACTTCTTTCAAAAGCAAATATTAATACTTTATAATAGTTTATTTTAACAATTTGTTTATTTTTATAAAAGGTAAATACTCCATTTAGTTAATTCTAAAGGATGATTTTTTTTCATGGCTGAAAGCAAACTGTGTCCTACTACCGACAGCTTACAGCCAGCATCACAGCACAGCGCTTGCAAGTCAAACCAAACAAACAAAAAACAAACGACTGTGAACAACCCATGAGAACTGCACACGGCAACCAAGAGGTATGTACTAGGAAGAGGCTGGGTTCTTCCCCAGACCTCAGCATGGGAGAAAGGGTCGTGATTTTAAAGAGTTATTTGGGCTCTCTCTGCAATGTCCACCTACTCTATCTAACGTAGGTACTTTACTGACTAAAGGTTGCTCTGAAGTCATTATCTGCACATCATCTAGGAAAGAGGGTGACAAATCGCATCTAAGACAGCCTGTCCACTCTAAAGATGCCGTCATCGTCTGCAGTGTACACCAACAAAGCAGGCACCTGAAACTTAAAACCCAGACACAGTAACCAGAAAACATTTTTTCAAAAAGTTTGTTATTTTTCATGTTTTTGGCATGCTTCTTCTATAATTTAGACTACTTTGCTATTTAGATTTAAATGCTTTTAGAGCAATAGATGGTTCAGACCATTCACCAATGCCTAATAAGCTCATGGCCCCAAAAAAATTACCGAGTGTATGAATTCAACATTATTTTGTTAAATACAGCAATTTTACAATTTCAACTATACTAGGTATAAATAAATATTACAATTACCACCGCAAGTTGTGTCCTTGAAGCAACAGTGTGAAAAACTGCAGGCATCATAAGGGACTCTTCAACTTTTATTTCCATGTCATTTTCTGTTGAAAAGGTAGTTTTAGGAATAGCAGGTAGACGTTCAGATAAGATCATTTCTTTGTTAAAAAGAAAAATTGGATTTGTGTCCTACAGAAGTAAAAATGCAAGAAAGAAAAAAAAACTGAGGTAAAATGTTGTAACTGCTGAACATGCACACAGCCCTCAATGTACAAATCGGATCAGTGACCCAGTTCCCGACGCCCCCCACCTACCGTCCCCGCGCTGTAGGTGCACACCCTCCGGTCTGCAGCCATGCACTCTCCGCCGTTGACCACCAGCACCTGGTGCTGAATAGCGATCTTGTACTTGCTGTGGATGGCATGCTTCAGGTCGGCCACACTTTTCAAACAAAGGGGGGTAAGTTGGTTATTTACATTTGCCCAACGACAAACCTTCTTATTACTAAAGTAGCACTATGCAAAAATACCTGACAGATAAATGAATTTCACTCTAAAGTTTTTCCTCCAAAGAGTAGTAAAAACTATCAGCTGCTTGTTCCTGGAATTGGATTCCATAATCAAGTAAGCAATTTTAAATAAATAAAAGGTCAATAAATCACCCCTGTGCCACATCTAGAAGTCAATCTACGAGATACAGGCAGTAGAAACATTTATTTTTGTAATCTTTATATAACGTAGCAAAAGAATATGCTCGAGTTAGCGTCAGGTCTATTAAAATCTTCAGAACAGAGGATGTGTGTTAAAATCTCCAGATCGCATTACACAAAATACATTAAGTCTGTATCACATGAAAACTGCTTCCTTTTTCTATTCTTTCAAAAAAGTTATTCCTTTACAGGTCAACCTGTGTTTTATTAAAAACTAGAACTTTCAAGAAAATAATTTTATGATCCCATTAAAAAATAAAATTCCAAATTTTATTCTATCATTAACAAACAAACCAAACACTACTGACTTTATTCATATAAAGTAATAAAAACAATGACAAAAAACACAGGCCTGGTGCAGGCTGGTTTATACCGCTAGCAACAGACCCTCTGCAGTGTCCTGTGGAGCCGAGAACAGCAATCAGCTACGAAAACTTACTTCTGTTTGACTGCCGTGGTTTGAAACCAGCTTGTTTATTATGAACAATACATTCATGTCAACAGAACGAAGCACAACTTAATGCATTCAACGTTAGCGTTTTAGGAAAGATGACAACTGCACGTGTAACACGCTGGGGATCAAAGCTCTAAGGCTCGCTGCACTACCACTCTTCCCTAAAGGAGTCATTTCCTCAAACTCAAACAGTTCTTTAACTCTTTACACACCCAAAATGCAAAACTGATGCGAATCAATGAAAGAGAGCTCACGTTTGCACTGTAAGTTCAGTGTCAAATGTCAGGGTAGTTCCAGTGTTAACCAGAAACACATACAACTTCATGATGGCTTCTCTGGATTCTGTGAGCTTGCACCTCACACTCTGATACGGTCACTACAGGAAACAGACAAGGAGCGTGGTCAGTGCACAAACACAAGCACCAGCGCAGATGTGCTCACGCGAGACCGAGCACAGCTGCACCGCAGCAACCACACACGCCAGGCAAGGTTCTGGCGGCCACGCTGGCCAGCTGTGCGACTCAGTGAACTCGGTGCTTAAAAAGCAGTCACACACAGGAGTGAGACCGCTGGAAAGCGTGACTGCTACCTTCAAAACTGTTCTGAGGAAGAGAGAGACCAGTGGTCAGAACAGGTCTGTGCGTTTTTCACTGTTCTCACGCACCGCCCCCCCAAGTTAAGAACATAGATTTAAAAAATCTAACACCAACATTTCTTCCTTCACTTCTTCCTTGTAACAATAAACAACGGTCTTAAGGTTAAAACTTACTAACAGCAAATAGGAAAAGTTACTGCTTGCAATTAGAAGGGAAAGAGTTAGCCCCTGGTCCTTCCACCGGGTGCCCCTCAATCTGGGGTCCACCTCCACAGTCAAAAACGCTCCACACAAGAAACTGCCCTGACAGTTAATCACTCCATGGAACAGCAGAAAGGGCACAGGTCTGGAAATCAGAATGTTTCAAACAACTGTGCCACTAACTAGTGGTCCAGGTCAAAACCCCCTCTATAAAATAAAGCGATAGATTTCAAGAGCTAGCATTTTACTTTTAACAACTGGAGGTATAAATCCCCCAAATTAATTTAAGTGATGAAAGACAAACTTCCAGAAACTAGTAGTTATCTTTCTTTATGCTCTTTGCATATGAGCTTTAGAGGAGAATTATGAGGGAAGAAGGAAAGAGCAAAAAAGGTTTTAAAATTAATGTTTCCAATCACCATTTTAAATGCATTAGATCAAGATCTCTGTTATAAAGGTAGGAACTGTGACTTACCGTCAGGCACTGTGAAAGAGATTACCACTTTCCTTAAAACGCAGATTAAAAGTGGCTTATGTTTGTTTTGCTTGATATTGGCAACTGAATGGCATTACTGGTGAAACTCAGTGAACTGGAAAAGAAAGATTTCTGGATTATTATTGAGAGAAATAATTCAACGTGACAACAAAAATGTTAGCAGTCTCTTCAGTTTAATGTTAACTTCTGCAAGAGTAATCTCTTCTCAGTCTCTCTTCCTACCTGCATATTCACTGAACCACAAGCATGTGACCTTGACCTAACCATTCCATTAAAAAGACATCAAACAAAAGTCCCCAAAGAACTCCCCAACACAGCCAAACTCCGCAGCCATTCTCAGTCCTTAGAATGTTACGGTCCCGTTACTTCTACATGATCTTGGCCAAGCCACTTAAAGGTTTCAGCGTCATCTTTTGTAAAACAGGGAAAAAATGGCACCTGCAGCAGAGAGCCCCTCCTTCCAGGTATCCCCTCTCTAGTGAACCTCGACCCCCTGGATGTGGGTGGGGCCTGTGATCTGTCTTTAGTCACTGAAACACAGCAGAGGTGATGGAATGTCACTTCTGTGACCGCTATTCAAGACTAACTTCCCTCTTGCCAGCCCTGATGGAGTAACTGTCATGTGGATAGGCCCACGTGGGTGGCAAGGAACTCATGCTAGCCTCTGGCCAACAGCCAGCAAGAAGCTGAGGGCCTCAGTCCAGCAACCTGCCAGGAACTGAATCGACAACCACAGCGAGCTTGGAAGCAGATCATGCTGAATCTCCGACAAGCCCCACCCACGGCTGAAACCTTCACAGCAGCCTTCTCAGAGACCCTCGCCAAGCCACACCCACAAACCCAAAATAACACATCTGTGTTGTTTTAAACAGTTCAGACTGTGGTAGGTCCACACTCGACAGGTGATCCAGCGCCCAACATCCAAGGGGCAGTACCAGAACTGGGCGAGAAAAGAGGCCCCGTGGTGCTCGGCAGATACAAGCCCCTTCCCGGGCTCTCCCTCCTCGGTCAGCTCTCCGGGGGTCTCGCCCTCCCTGCTCACTGTCCTGCTCCGGGGGCTGCAGCGAGGCCCTGCTGACCACCACACCCGCCCAAACACCTCTCCAGACCGAGGTCTCTATCCGGCCCCTCCCAAAGCTCCTCTGCATCTGAACAACTCCCTGCTCCCGTGTGCTTCTCTTTGCTGAAGGACCTTCGTGCAGCCCGTCTCTCAGGTGCTATCCCAGATTCGCCGTCTTCCTCACCCCCGGTCAGTTCAACGCACCGCTTACTGATGGCCTATCCCTGTTCCTCCTGCTACGGCTTTCAGTCAAGCCCTCGCTGTCCCTGAACTTCCACTACGGCTTCTCAACCTGCTCCGTCTCCTCCGCCCCTCACCATCCTCCTCCCTCCCTGACATCACCCTCGAAGGGACCATTCTACATGCCAGGCGGGCCACGATGTTCTGCTCCCTGAAACCAGCCAATCAGGATCATGATGACTTTTCTGGTAGTGGCCACCACTCATGAGTATTTATTATATTCCAGGCGACTGTTCTAAACCCTTTATTAAATAAAATGCTTTCATCTGATCCTCATAAGAAACCTTTACGGTAAACAGTATCATCCTCATTTCAGAGATAAGGAAACTAAGGATCAAGGGCCTGAGTAATGTCACAGGCTGAGTGAGGACTCGAACCCGGACAGTCCGATGCCAGCTTCTCGCGCCTTTACCATGGAGATGACACCCAGCAAAACCGCAGGCGCCACATGGCTTCTCCCCTCCTCCGTAACGCCCACCCCGCCCTCCCCAACCTCCCACCGCGTGACTCCCTGAACGAACACACTGCTTCAAGTCTGAGCCTCGCAGGCCTGTTCCCCACCTGGACCCCCCTTCCCCGGCCCTCCCTCCACCAGCCCCTCTCAGGTCTAAGGGCACAGCCCCACCAGGAGCCCTGCTGCCCGACTCCACTGCACTTCTCCGCTGCGCACTTCATAGCTCCCACCTCCACTGAACAGCAGGCTTCTTTAAAGCAAGGACCACGCATTCCTGGGAACTAGCTCCAAAATGCTTTCTAACTAAAATGAATAACCCAGCAGAGGATTATTCTATGTCCTTGTGAAGAGTGCTAAGAAGTCACACCGTGACATTCGCCACAGCTGCTTCTGCCTGTTCCCAGCGTCGTCATCTCCATCACATCCGCCACCAGCACACAGGACGCCACCACGGCCCACGGGCGACTCAGGCCCCCACAACACAGCCCCGACGGCTCTGCCCCACAACCTAACTTACACCGCGCTGGCCTGCCCTACACCAGCATCCCGTGTCTGTCGTGGCCCACAGCACATCCCGTCACCCCCTACCACGGCCACGGCCCTGGGGGCCCTGCATGGACGTCAGCCTGAGGGCTGCCCCAGCCATGGGTCCTGAGGAGACAGCACATAAAATGCTCGTTGCCAGCACTTCCGGAGGGATCAGTCACGTGCCAGTCTGCTTCACCAATGTCTCACAACAGGTGAGACATCCACATTATTAACATCTCCCTTTGCAGATGAGGAAGAAGATTCAGAGGTTACTCAACTTGCCTGAAGACAGCAACTTAGTAAATCAAAATTCCGGGGGCTTGAAACCAGGTCAATTTATAACATTAATTCAATAAAAACATCACTGTGAGAACCCAGTACAACCTAGGGATTTTCTCAGCTTTGGGAATAAAAGAGGAAACAATGTGATGAAATTACTATCACCTTCTCTCACGAAGCTCACATGCCAGCGGGCAAAGTGAAAATTTTACATCTGAACACAAACTCCATGATACCTACTCTCAGAAAGAACAGCAAAGAAAGCTTTCATCTCAAGTAGAGCAGTTCCCAAACACACACCCGCACTTTCCTGCTTCACTCTTTACAGACACGCACACTGCTGGGACACCCGGCATCCGTATGACCTCCAGGGACAGCCAGAGCCTGCAGGTCCGCCACAGGGCGGTCACAGGTGAGGAAGCCCCATGCAACCCTGGACGCTAAGGACTCAGGGAGGCTCCCCAGGGGTCCGTGCTGTGGCGCATGCCGGCCACGGGGAGGCAGTGCTGCCCTCCCTGACCCCACAGAGGGACCCGAGCGCTGCACCTGCAGCCCTGCCAGGCCCCCCTCCCTGCATATCTTCCTTCGTCTGCTAGAGTTTGACTTGTAGCCTCCCACTACAATAACACTGTAATCATAAGTATAGCGCCTTCCTCAATTCTGTGAGCTTTCCTAGTGAATTTAACTCAAAGGTAATTTTGGGAACCCTGGACTCTGCAGTCAGTTGGTCTGAAGTGAGGGGGTCCTGGACAACACCAAACTTGTGGCTGGTGCTCCCGGTGGGAGTGGACTTGTGGGGGCTGTTCCATCTCAGTCCAGAGTGGACTAAAACCCCTGCACACCCACATGTGTTTTCCCCAAAGAAGCTCTAGAGAAGTGGCTGATTCCAAAACGTACCCAGCGTGTAAGCCTGGAACACCTCAACGTGATAGAAAAGCTGGGAAGCCGCCACAGACTAACGAGACAGCGTCAGAAGGGCAAAGAGGTCAACCTAGAGAGGCTTCACTAAGCTAGGACAGTTTGGGCATCAACGGAATGATGGCAAATAGTTAAGTGTTCATAACGTTACCCAAAAAAGAAAGAAGAAACACCCAGTGAGCTGGGGCAGCAACCTAGTGTCAAAGCTGGGGAGGGAAGGACATACATGCATCTCCTGGCGCACCGACCTTGGGGAAAACCAACACTTGCTGAAGGAATGGCCTCTTCTGCAGACAAACTCCAGCTAACACTACAGACAGAACACAGAAGATGACCATTTTGCAATGAAGTAACAGATCTAGACAACCATGAACTGTCACAATGAGGATAAGTGCGACGTGAGAGGGGCTGACAGACATGAACACACTGACCGCCTATCACTCTTCTACTGACAGTGTCTCTGCGCGTCTCCGCTGGACACGAGCACAACCCCGCCCTAAAGGACCGCTGCTCCCGCTCCGTGCAAAAAATGAACCAAAATCTACCTAAGCCTCTACATCCACCTACAGTTCCCAGTTTATACACAACAAGGAGTCACAGAGGAAAAAAGTCAACAATATTATAAGAAAACCACCAACTAAGTCAGAAATGAGCATTCTATAGGACAATGACCTAGTTTCTTCAACAAATGGCTTCAAAAAGACAAGGGAGAAAGAATTCTACCTACTAACGGAGATGTAAGAGGTAAAATAACCACATGTAATGTGTGCACCTGTCTGGATCCTGAAATCAAAGAAACCACTGTAAAAAGACATACTTGAAATAAGTGTGGAAATCTAAATATGGACTAGGTATTAGATTATACTTAAGAATCACTATTCCTCTTTTTTCGATAATGGTATTTTAGTTATAAAATAATTCTAAAAATTAGTTCTAAAAAATTCATGTGTAAAATAATATTTGAAATGTTTTAAAACATTCCAGCAGAAACAAATGAAAGACGGAAGGACGTGAGGCAGGGAAGGGAGAGGTCAGCTGAGGTCAGCTGGGCAGGGGACAGATAAGACGAGCAAGACACCGATCCACCATTAAAGCACAAAGGATGCACAGACTGGTTTCACTGTTACACTCTCTCTAGTTTTGTGTATGCTTGCAAATTTCCATGATAAAATATTACAAAAATCATCATAATTATTTTAATAATCCTATTTAGCATTCAAATATTATAGGTGGGACTCTACTATAAATAATTATGACCTTTCTGAAAAACAGCTGGCATTGATGGGGCAGGTAACTAAAACGTCAACAAACTCACGCCTCTCATCTCAAAGGGAGAGAGAACATCCTCCTTGCAGAGCTGCTGCAGGACCAGAGCAGTAAGAGAGGGGAGCGAGGGGTGCACACAGCTGAAGCAAGACTGGCCCTGAGTGAGCTCCTGGAACAACATGACAGTTACACCCGCCTGTACAGGGGCTGCGTGCACCCCAGCAGTGATGAGCCCACCTCCCTCCACTCATGCTGGACACAAATTTAACCTCCCCCATACCTACTGGTCATCCTTTCTCACGAGGATGGATACAAGTCATTGAAACACTTCTGGAGCAGTCTTCTGCTGCGGTTAAGACAGAGCTAAGAAATTT